CTTTTAAGCAAGCGCCGGATTGGGATAGCCCCAGGCTAGAGTGTTCTTTGTGCTATGGAGTCTGCCGTGCCAGGGGGTTGTGGGCTTTTATCGGAGTTAGACCAGAAACCTTTCCTCATGCAACCTTTCCTGCTTCGACCTGTTTTCAGCCCGCGATCGTCAGAAAGACCAGAGGTCTTATTTTCATGCAGCCTAACTAGTTTTGGCTAGATCCGGATGTTTGGGTACAACATCTGTAGGAAAACCGGTAAACCCACAAATGAAGGATAATTTTTATGCATTTGCCCCCTGTGGGTATTGAACTAGGGACATGCGTTTAGTAACCTGGAAGCACACCCACTGTGCTATAGATCTACAGGTTTGGATTCCAATATTTTTTTAATAACTAATAATTATTAAATTAATATTATAAAATACTGGAACAAATATCAATTATTCAACTTAATAATATTTAAATACAATTAAATTTCTTAACAATAACTATAAAAATTTATACATTTAAACTCAAATTCAAACTCAAAAGTTATGACTTACATAATATCAATGTCTAATTGAATTTATATATATATATTTAGAAACCATATTTAATAATGACTATAATACTTTATCAACTATTTTTTATAATATTATTTTATATAATAGTAATTCTATTCAAATATTTTTTTATTTTTATTTTTTTCAACAGATAGTTTTTTAAGTTTTTCTTTTTTAAAAGTTTTTTTAATAATATATTTGTTTTATAGATAGTAAATTAATATATATAATAATATAATTTGTATATTACTATTAATTATATAACAAGTTAAACTTTTACTCTATTAATAAAGATCATAAATACTGTCTTACTTTAATATTAAAAAACTGCTTGATATTATTTTTGATATATATAAGTTTAATATTTATTTTTTTATATTATTTTAATAAAATATATAAGCAAGCTAGCATTAAACTTATTGACTTAACATATCATATAAAAAATATTATTACTTTTTTTATATATAAAATTTTTACATTTTTACAATTAATAAAACAATAATATTTATCTACAAAAAAATTAAATTAATTATAAATGATTGATTTTTTAAGTTAATTAATTTATTTATAAAAAATATATAAGTTAATATTAAAAAAATGTTAATTGATTTTATTATCAAATCAAATCAAGAAACAATAACTATTTAACATATTGTATATTTGAATGGAATTATTGATATTAATATATTGTATATTTTTTTATTTATTTGGCATTTAAAATTCATAATACTCTTGATATAAAATTATTAACTTTTGGTTTGCTTATTTTTTTTTTTTTTTAAAAAAAAAATATTCATACTTTGTATTTTAATTAATCTTTTACTTTCAACTATTATTAAAACAATACCATATGCTTATAAAATAACTTTGCAATAAGCTAATGCTAGTTGATAAGTTTTTATAAACTTATACTGTATGTCAAAATTATGTATTATAATAAATACTAATGAAATAAATAATAAGTCGATGTAATGATAAATACACCTTTACTATTACTTACTGTACTGTCGTTAATGAACTGATAGCATGTATACAAAGATGGAAATTTTGAGGACACGATTATCTTTCAATGTTAAATTTTTTGAATAATAATGTTGAAAAAATTTTCTTTATGTACTAAGGATTCGATTTATAATTACAATTTTTTTCTCCTGATTTTTTTTTTTTTTAAGATTTCTATATCTACTGAACCCATTTTTAGTCTTTGCCTTTCCTATGAATTTCCTGATAGACCTTCACCAGATGGGATGAATGCAGGTGAGTAGACAGACAGGTTGGAAATGATCATAGGGGAATTGATAAAATTTTCAGTATCATTGTTAACGCCACCGTTAGCTGCAATCGCGGCTCCACGTTTATTGTCAAAATCTTCCATGAAATCCCATAAACGAACGTTGTCTAGAATTTTAACTTGTTCACCATTTTGAATTGTACGAATATGACGTTTTTCTTTTGTTCCATCACGATAGACATGTGCGTAGAAACAGGAAGATCCGAATTGACACTGACCATCGCCATAATTGAAGTGTTTACATGCAATGGT